TGAACCTTTGTGGTAGAAATCAGCAGCTGTTTAACAGAACACAGCAACACTAAACAACTTAGTAGGAAAATGTGTAGTGTTTTTTTTCCTCCTGGAGGGAGCTTTTCTTTTGATTATCGACCGGCTTTATTTTGTTCAAGCAGAGCCTTTTTATTAACACCTTGCTGATTATATCTCTCTATGCTGCTTGGGAAATTCTGGAATTACAGTAGACAGGTGCGTTCAATCTGTCTGTTTCTCAGTATTGTTTGGATGGTCTTTCTTTCAGTACCTCTATGCTTGTAATTTACTTATCTGGTTGGAGTCTGGAAATTGTTTTTATAGCAAACAAATTTAATCTCAAGGTGAAGGAGGTCTTGAGGATCTAGCAGGTTACTCTGTGGGAAGGAACAGGGTGGGGAGAGAGCCTGCTTGTAGAATCTTCTCTTGGTGAACCAATATCCTGTTTTTGATTATGCTGTAATACCTACAGGCTCCAATCATAAACTGGTACCCTATTGCACTACACCATACACAATAAAATGATGCTCACTATCCCAACCAGCTTCCACTCTACACAAAAGACAACAGGTGGAGGGAGCTCAAGGGAACAGTGCAATAGGTATCGTATCAGGACTCCAAAACAGTTCTTTGACTACAACTACATTTCTCTAGAGTGCCTGATGTTCTCATGCAGCCTGAATGAGGTGTCAGATGCCATGAAGTCCCACAACTTTCTCTCACTGCGGAATGGCAATGTTTTGAACATCTGCAGGTTCAGGATATGTTTGTCCCAGGGTGCAATAAGACCTCATAGTTATGAACCCTTTGAAAATGGAGGTTGTTCATAACTTTTGAAAAAGTTTGCAATGGAACATTGACAATTGAGCTTTGCTACTTTACTATGCAGCAGAAAAATGCTTTTAACCACCTTAATTTAAATGAAACAAGCACAGAGTTTCCTTACCTTATCAATTCTTTTTTTGTGCCCCAACTACTTGAATTGAACACAGTACTGCTGTATAGTATTTGCTTTTAGGCAGAGGAGGGTGGTGTGGCTGGTGCCTAATTGTGTACTTCTGGTTCCAAATGAGGGGTGTGGTTGACGGCTCAGTTCATAATGCTAGTGTTCATAACTGAGGTGCTACTGTATTAGAAAGACAAAGTGGACGAGGTCGTATTTTACTGGACCAACTTCTGTAGGTGAGACATGCTTTGAGGGGTGCCATTTCTGTGCGGAAGCAATGCCCCCTATTGCTGCAGTGAGTTTTCATGCCATGGGGAGCAGGGTTGGGCTGAGGCCATTGCGTAGCCCCTCAGCACTGTACTCTGGCAGGCGGTCGATGGCTAACCCATGACCAGCACCCCGAGCTGCGACGATGGCTACCAGGGCACGGTTCCTTGCCAGGACGGGGGTGGTGAGGCCCTGTCCCCATGCTATGCGCCACGCCAGGCGTCTGAGGGCTGTAGCGTGGCCCTGTGGAGCAACGGGGCATTTTCCCTCCCTAGGCACAAAGATGGCGGCTGCTTGGCCGATGCTCTGGCCTCTGTACCGCGCTCTAGCGTGGCCTGCCCCCCAGTCGGCGGGAAGAGTCTGTGGGCAGATGAGGAGGACTCGGAGGGACGTCGACGTCACTTAGACCTCCGGAAATCTATGGTGCGTCCTTAGGGATGCCCTGAAAGGCGCTCTAGGCGGGGAACTCTATAGTCGGAATCTCTAGCCCAGGCCTCCGGTTGACTCTATGGTTGCAGCCCGCCCACCTCGAGCGTCCCGGCCGGGCCTGCCGTGTTTACGATGCCGGCGGCGCCGGTTTCCTGAGGCGGAGACAGCGGCAGCGGCAAGAGCGGCGGCTGGGTCCTCGCGGCGCGAGGAGGGCGGCGCGGCCTCTGGGCCTCTGAGGTAAGAGCGGACGCGACCGCGACCGACTCCCTCAGGGCGCGAGCGGGAAGGGCGGCGGACGCGATCGAATCAAGGAGCGCGAAAGGAAGGGCGGGGGGGGAAGGGACTAACTAGGCGACGCGGACGCGATGGACTCAGCTGCCGAGCGAGCGCGCGACAGCCTCGCGCCCAGGGGTTGGGGGAGGGGAGCCTGAGGCTCACACAGGTCCCCTCCCCTGGGGGCGTGGGCGAGGCAGGTGCTCGCCCCCCCCCCCTCCTCGCCGCGCTGGACTCGTTGCTCAGACCCCGCCCTGTCTCCCCTCACATGCCGCCCCGTGGGGCCTCGCCCGCGGCCCCGGAGCCCCCAAGTCCCCCCCCGGCTCACTCCCGTCATATACCCCTCGTGCCCAGCTCGGCCCCCATGTCCCCAACAGCATAGCAGGGCGTGCCTTGTCCGCGCCCCGCATCCCCTCAGGCCCGCCCCTAGGGAGGGTGACGGACCAGGTGTCCCTGCCCTGATATTGGGGCTTTTTCTTATATAGGTGCCAATTTCCCCCCACCCCCCTGCCGATCTTTCACACTTGCTGTCTGGTCACCCTACCCTAGGGGGCCCCGTGTCACCTCAACATACAGTTGTCGTTCCCTGTGTCTACACACCAGCTTTGTAATGCCCTGTATTGCCCATAACATGGGTACGCATCGCTCACCTCACGCCCTGCGTCCACACACCAGCTTTGTGATGCCCTGTATTGCCCATAACATGGGTACGCATCACTCACCTCACACACTGTGTCCACACACCAGCTTTGTGATGCCCTGTATTTCCTATAACATAGGTACGCATCGCTCACCTCACACGCTGTGTCCACACACCAGCTTTGTGATGCCCTGTATTTCCTATAACATAGGTACGCATCGCTCACCTCACACACTGTGTCCACACACCAGCTTTGTGATGCCCTGTATTTCCTATAACATAGGTACGCATCGCTCACCTCACACGCTGTGTCCACACACCAGCTTTGTGATGCCCTGAAGTGCCTATAACATGGGTACGCATCACTCACCTCACACGCTGTGTCCACACACCAGCTTTGTAATGCCCTGTATTGCCCATAACATGGGTACGCATCGCTCACCTCACACCCTGCGTCCACACACCAGCTTTGCGATGCCCTGAATTGCCCATAACATAGGTACGCATCGCTCACCTCACGCCCTGCGTCCACACACCAGCTTTGTAATGCCCTGTATTGCCTATAACATAGGTACGCATCGCTCACCTCACGCCCTGCGTCCACACACCAGCTTTGTGATGCCCTGAAGTGCCCATAATATACACATGTATTGCTTGTGTGTCACTCACGCCCTGTATCCCCTCACTCCACCCTCATAAGCACTGTGTCACCATAGTGCACATATGCGCTGCCCACGTCTCTCACACACCCTGTATCCCATCCTACATTACCCATAATGTACGAATGTGCTGCCCACATCTCACCCACACCCTGCATCATCTCACACCAGCCCTTTTGGGGCCCACACCAACCATATCTCACAAGTTTCCTGTATCCCTGCCTCACAGGGCCCCACATCTGCAACGCAAGCTTGCGTGGCCCATTTTTCCAGAATACTCTTCGCACCCACCTTGTTGCGGCCTCATGTTGCCCCAGTGCAGACTCAGTGGGCACAACATGTGTCCATATTCCTCCCTTGCACTAGCCAGGAGTGACTCCATATTACTCCTCAGCGCAGGCCTTTGCTGGGCCCAACACACACAGGACCCATATCTCCCCACGATGTCTTCAGTCGTCAGACACATCTGATGTACATGCCTTAATTTCACTGATGTTCTTCCTACGTGTTTGAAGATGCTGTTCTCAGTGGGTGGTCCCCAGAGGTTTTGGTTGTCTCGTTGTTTTCTTGTGTACCACCTGTCTGTTTCATCCATCTGTTCTCTCTCATCTTCTGCTTAGATCTGTAAGCTCCTTAGGGCAGAAACTGTCTCTGTTGTGTGTTTATACAGCACCTAGCACAATATGTCCAGTATCAGGGGGTAGCCGTGTCTGTAGTCTGTATGCACAAAAACAACAAGGAGTCTGGTGGCACCTTAAAGACTAACAGATTTATTTGGGCATAAGCTTTCATGGGTAAAACTGCATCTGAAGAAGTGGTGTTTTACCCACGAAAGCTTATGCCCAAATAAATCTGTTAGTCTTTAAGGTGCCACAGACTCCTTGTTGTTTTTGCACAATATGTCCATGAACCATACCTGATACCCCTAGCCACTACTGTAATACAAATAAATGATAATTAATTGAAGACTCCTCTCCTACTTCCTGGCTTGCATTTGCAAGGATATCCTGTCATATCGCATTTATCTTTTACTGATTTCAAGGAAACTGTAGATCAGCCTTCTTTTGGGTTCAAGTACCTGTCACTGTCTGTTGGATGCCCGCTTTCTAGAAGCACCTAATGTGCAAAAAAATAAGACTTTGATTAACTGCCTTTGCTTATGAAAAAGTTGTCTGTCAAGCTTACGGCTGGGACTTCAGGAATCTGTTTCCCTAAAACTTTCTTTACATATCTTCAATTTAATTTTGTAAAAGTTAAAGCTGCATAAATTCCCTTATTTATTTGTAGTTCATATACTTGAATTACTTGAATTGTTTATGTAGAGTGACTTCACATGTGCCTTACATTTTAAAAGAGCAGAAGAGCAAAACAAAGCTTTTTTTTCCTTGTTCTTTATCACCTATAAAAGTAATGCTTTATGCCTCTTTGCTTTAAAATATACCTTTTCTATTTCCTTAATTATTGACATTATGGTAGTGCCTTGCAGCCTCATTTGACACTTGTTACAGGCACTTTACAAACATGTGGTAGGAGACAGTCCCTTCCCCAAAGAAGTTACAGTCTAAACCAGGGGTAGGCAACCTATGGCACACGAGCTGATTTTCAGTGGCACTCACACTGCCCGGGTCCTGGCCACTGGTCCGGGGGGGCTCTGCATTTTAATTTAACTTTAAATGAAGCTTCTTAAACATTTTAAAAACCTTATTTACTTTACATACAACAATAGTTTAATTATATATTATAGACTTATAGAAAGAGACCTTCTAAAAACGTTAACATATACTACTGGCGCGCGAAACCTTAAATCAGAGTGAATAAATGAAGACTCGGCACACCACTTCTGAAAGGTTGCCGACCCCTGGTCTAAACAGACAAAAGGTAGAAGAAAGGAAGTAATATTTATCCCCATTCTACAGATGGGGAGTTGCAGCAGGCAAAGTAACTTGTCCAAAGCACGCAGACAGTCTGCAACATAGTGGAAATTGAACCCAGATCTCCTGAGTTCCAGTCTAGCGCCTTAATCACAAGACTATCCTTACTTTTGTTTTAAAACCCTCCCCACAAATCATGTAAAATAAATTTCAATATATAAATGCATATATCAAAATGTATACATTAACTTTAGAATACACATAGAATGTACACTTTAATGGGCATGCTTTATCTTTTGATTTGTGGGGCTAAGAGTGTGAGCAAATATTTGGAAATCTATCTATTCATCTGCCCCAGTTGTCATCTAGGTGCAGTGCAAAGGCCTTTTCGGTATTGCTGAAAGATATATTAACATTCTCATGCCATGTTTCTAACTTGACTCCCCAGTTACCTTACCAAAACGATTAAACTTTTTGGAACATTGACCCCGATGACGCTGCTCTTGGTTTGTCAGGTTTGTTGCCGCTTACCCATGGACTCTGAGGTTGTAGAAGTTATAATCCAGGATCACTCAGTGAAATTATGTGGCGAGTGTTATACAGGAGGTCAGAAGAGGATCATAAAGGTCCCTTCTTGTGTTACAATCTACTAATCTGTTTTCCTGATCAATGTCTTTTGTGTAATTGATAAGTTAAAAAGACTATAACTAGGAAAGCAGTTTCTCTGCCTTAGACACATTATTCTGACTTGTTGAGGGATTGCTAAACACTTTCTTAACGACAGTAAATAGCGTACTTCATGTTATAGATTTCTGGGAATTAATAACAAGAAGGTCTCTAAAGAAAAGTTTGGTGCCCGCTATTGGTATATTAGCATAAGGAGATATTTATTTTAAAAAGGCTTTAATTTTCTCCAGTGGTCCTGTGGATTTTGTTGTCAGGTAGAATAAAATGTTTTCAGAGTAATAGCATAGTTTACTGGAGTAGTCCAGGTTTGGGAGAGGTTTTTTTGAGCGTTTAATTTCTTGGCTGACTTTTGACTATGCCTGTTAAGGACCTGATTATTCAAAGTGTTGAGCACTAGAGAGCTGCTGAGCAACCTTAAGTTTCTTCTTTCAGGATTGAGCTCTGAGAGTTTTTCTCACAGCAGAAAGGTTGGTTCTTGTGTTGGAGATACACCCACAACAGAACAAAAAGACTTGAATTGGTGTCATGCTAAATTGCTGTCCCTGTGACTTATGATTTGATGTCAGTAGAATCCATCTGTTTAATTACAGCTAATTAACACACACAACATCTTTTCATGGATGTATCTTTTCTACGTTTCTGTCAGAAATTTTACGTTGTCTGTGAATTAATAGCAAGATAAACATATTGGGAAAATAGTTACTGTATATGCACTGTATCTTAACTGTACACATGCAACAACTTAGTATTTTAACGTTCAATAAATAGGCTACCTTTTTAAAATTTGAGACTAGAGATCGTTTTTCTGTAAGGGCCATATTCTAGTTTATTTTTTTAATTTGTGTGCTAGTCTCCTTACTACAACTCAAAGTTCGAAGGAAATTTCAGTTTTTGCTGAATGGTAATTCAGACTGAGGAATCTGGTTAGTTGAATGGAATGATTATTAGTGATCCCCAGGTTCAGGATAATAAATTAAACCTGCCTACAGTCAGCTGTAAAGCACCATCTATGCTGAAAATTAAACAGTGTTTGAGAGCAGAATAGTGTTTTTTTTTTTAGTGATATGACTGGCCTATGTGAAGATTGTCAAACTGTTAGAAATCAGTTTAAAAGACTGGCCTTTCAAAGCAAATATATTCAGCACAGTGCTTAGAATGCTGAGTCCTTACATTTAGACTGCAAAGGTCCTTCCGGCTGGTATGTGTGGTTTTTAATTTTTCTGTAAAACACCATTCCCACCTACAGTGCTATAGAAATAATAAATAAATTTGGAGTATTGGGAGACCCTCATCCTCTGACTAATGAGAACTCTGCAACGATCCTGAACTGCCTATTTTCAGCTCTCCCTGTGCCATAAAAAACTTTTCTTCATCGCAAAAGTATGTACTTTGGCTTCAACGAAACATATGTTTTGTTGTTGTTGCAAGCAGTCAGTGTAGTGCTGTTAAAAACTGAAGTACTTACCAATTTTCCGTATTCAGTACACTGATCTCTCTTTGGTTGAGAAGTTGTGTCATCAGAGATTAACTTGAACTTTTTCTCACCTCTGACAGTGTCTTACTGAAAGCTGAGTAGATAGAAATCACTATGTATAAAACGTTCGCATGCCTCCAATAGACAATACATACTTTTCCAGCTAAGTAGGTTACTTTTGAAAAACAGAAGCATGTAAAATGTCTTGCTCACTTAATTGTGCAACGCTGGATAGCATGTACTTCCTTACGTTATTCATTGGATGACATAAGTGCTTCACATCTCTTTATTTACTGTGTTTATTTGAGAGTGATTTTCTGTTTAATCAGTTTCATTATTTAATTACAGTCAGTTTCTCCTGGTCTTAATGTGACTCTTTCATGCAGCAACAGGAGAGAAAAACATTTTTAAAAATAAGAAAATGTGGTTGAAAACTACAGGAACGGTGAACTACTTGGAGATTGGTGTCCTATCAGAAACTCCTTTATTAATTTTTTTGCAGTTGATTAAATTTAAGTTTGACAGTGTCCTGTTCACCAGTGATATTTGTCATATCTTAGTTGGCAAAAATACAAAATATACATGTTTCCTTTGTAAGAATGTAGTTGATTTTCACCAGCTTTCTTTTGTGTGCATTGTATGACTCTAATAAACAAACCTGCATACCACATTTTTCAGTAATACTCTTCTTTACTGTTGTAAGTTTAATGTTGTTTAAATTACTTCCGTTACCAATTTTGTCTAATTTTTTAAATCTTTCAGTACTGTAAAGCAACAGCTGCCAAGGAAAGAAATTTCACTGGGATTAAAACCCTGTCTTTCCTCCTCCACAGTAGCTGTTCTTGTTTTTGTTTTTTGTTTGTTTTTTGAAAGCAGGGTAGTGTGAAATTGAGTAGCATGTCAATCTGGCTCCTAGTCTGACTCTCACTGCTACTGGTGCTATGGGGAGGGAAAGCTACTGTGTAGGAGCATCAACACCATGGTAATCTTAGCTAATGCTGTAGGGTGATTCTGTTTACGTGGGGTTTTAAAAAAAAGTGGACATATTGGAAGCAGTGTACAGCTCTCACAGTCCCATCATTCTAAAGTGAAACCTCTGTTTTGTTGGTAAATTACAACAAATTTTAAAGAATCCTAATACCTTATTTTGAGGGTTACAGCTTCCAATCTCACTATATCATTAATCTTCCCAGTTTTCTCACTACAAGACCGTATTTTGCAACCTCCTTGAGGAGGAGTCTTCTTGACTTCAGTGTGACTCCTCACATAAGTAAGGATGGCAAGATCAGCCCCTGAGTCTTCATATAAATTGACTTGCCCTATGAGTATATGTCAAGCTGCAAGAGCTGTGGTTGATGTCAGTAGGGAAAAATCAATGACTCACATTTCCACAGAGAGAAATGTAATTTCCAGTCTCATAGCAACTGTCCTTGCAACTGTTTCAAACCTTGTGTGACAAAATATTTAGCACTTACAGATCTTCTTTTAATGTCTCATTCCAGTCCACCCCCTCACCCTAAATGTGTCTGCATTTTACATTACACTAAATCTCCTGATTTATGATTTTAACCTTAAAATGATGTCAGATAATTAAATGTAAAAAATGAAAATCTGAGAAAAGTTACCTTGACTTTATAATGTAAGGGTCTGGTTAATTTTATAGGGTCTTAAAATTATGAAATCTTGCATCTACTTATGTTTAATGTCTAAATGCTAGCTATGCTGTTTACACTTAGGGAACAGTTGGATTTTAAATTCAATGTATTTAATTCTAAATGTTTTACGGTCATTTTGGCTGGTGTCTTGGATAAACAGTTTTTAGAATCTGATCTCTATTAATTACTAATTTAGAGATGCAAACAAGTTAACTATTTAGAGCACACTATTCTTTTAGTACACTGATACACATGCTTTAGTGTAGAAATTTTATAGGCAAATTTAACCCTTACTGACAATGGGTGCATCTGAACCAGTGCTGAAAAT